GCCTCGGCCTCCCAAAGTGCTGGGATTACAGGCTTGAGCCACCACGCCCGGCCTCCAGCTAATTTTTGTATTTTTTAGTAGAGACGAGGTTTCACCATGTTGGCCAGGATGGTCTCGATTTCTTAACCTAGTGATCCGCCCCCCTCAGCCTCCCAAAGTGCTGGGATTACAGGCGTGAGCCACCGCACCCGGCCACCTGTTTCTATATTAGAACCTGTGCATTTTATGCTGATACCTCCAAATCTAATCTAACGCTACAGGGTTTATTTTAGCCTCTGCCTTTCAATGTTGGTAACTACCTTCTACACCAGTGAGAAGCATGCTCGGTATATTCACTTCCTTGTTCAATTTGCCTGTGTATAACCACCTCCCAGCTGTGCTCAGGCTACACCTTGGCTCCCCAGCTCTACCGGCCACACCACAGCCACATCCTCAGCCCAACAGAAGGGAAGAGGAAGGGGTGCAAATTAGTGTGAGTACCCTTGAATTAACAAGTTCCAGGGCTGGGCGTGGTTGCTCATGCCTGTAATCCCAGCACTTTGGGAGGCTGAGGCAGGTGGATGGTTTAAGCTCAGGAGTTTGAGACCCGCCTGGATGACGTGACAAAACCCTGTCTCAACAAAAAGAAAAGCCCACAAAAAATAGCCAGGTGTGGTGGCATGCACCTGTAGACCCAGCTACTCAGAAGGCTGAGGTGGGAGGATGGCTGGAGCCTGGGAGGCAGAAGTTGTAGTAAGCTGTGGTTGTGCCGCTGCACTCCAACCTGGGTGACCCTGTCTCCAAAACGAAACAGAAGTGATCTCACTTTCTGGGGATCTTCAGCTGCTTTGGCCTTGCTCACCTGCCTTGCCCTTTTCTGGCTACTGTCTTTCTCTCCTTGTGTGTCACTCTACATTCCAGTTAGAATATTGTTTCTGTGAATGCTGACTGCAGGTCCACCAGAGAAACTGCCTTGGTCATCCAGGGATAAACCTGGTCTGCCATGGTGTGTTTCTTCTTCTCACTTTAGTGCAGTAGTGACATTATAGCCCACTGTAACCTCAAACTCCTGGGCTCAAGTGATCCTCTTGCCTCAGCCTCCCAAGTAGCTGGGACTACAAGCACCTACACCATGCTTAACTGATTTGTTTCCTTTTTTTTAAGAGCTAGGGATCTCACTTTGTTGCACTAGTCTCAAATCCCTGGCCTCCTCCTAGCCAGGCATAGTGATACATGCCTATCATCCCAGCTACTTGGGAGGCTGAGGCAGGAGAATTGCTTGAGCCTGGGAGGTTGAGGCTGCAGTCAGCCATGATCATGCTACTACGCTTTGTCCTGGGTAATAAAGCAATACCTTATCTCAAAAAAACAAAAAAATGTGATCAGATTGGATCATCTATTCAAAACTAATGAGCCTTACTCATTCCCATTTGGGTAACATATTCTTTTCTTGTGTGAAGTACTGACTACTGATTTTCTGATGTCTCACGTGGCGTCAAAGCATGCCGATGCAGAGTGAAAGATGGAAGGGAGGGGAGGCTTTCCCCTGCTGATTTATTTCTCATCTCTTCCAAAGAACAATGTCAAAAGTAGCCAAGTAGACATTCTGTAGACGTTCTACAGAGCATAGATCTTTAGAGTTTTTTGGAGTGAAATTTTCTTTATGCTGCGTGATCATAATTAATTTATAATCTTACTCATTGGGTTGGCTCTGAAATAGGAAACAAGTAAGTGAGTGTCTGTCTTCTAGGGAAATAGGTGAGTGATGAAAATAAAAGCACATCAGATGTGGGAGTACAGGCGTGGTGGCTCACAGCTGTCATCCCAGCCCTTTGGGAGGCCGAGGAGGGTGGATCACGAGATCAGGAGTTCAACACCAGCCTGGCCAATATGGTGAAACCCCGCCTCTACTAAAAAAATTTATAAAAATTAACCAGGCGTGGTGGCACATGCCTGTAGTCCCAGCTACTCGGGAAGCTGAGGCAGGAGAATCACTTCAACCTGGAAGGGGGAGGTTGCAGTGAGCCGAGATCGCACCATTGCACTCCAGCCTGGGCGTGAGTTTCTGAGACTCTGTCTCAAAAACAAACAAAAAGGATGTCGGAGCGCTGATTTGGTTGGCGCCATCGGTTTAGAGATTAGAATCTCTTATAAGAAGACCCCAGGGGACTCTTGCCTTCAGTTCCATGCTCTCCTCCAGTGTGCCAATCTCCATCCCCATCCCCTAGGAACAGAGTGTGGAGGTTGATGAGCTAAGTCCGTATGGAGCACCAGCGTGAAGATTTGCTCCACACATCAGCATGACTGGGGGCCGGGGCAGCAGCATGCGCTAGCATGCACATCACCCCTCCTCTCAGGAAGAGCACGACACAGGTGATTCTGCCTCCTTCACCTTTTGTGCCAGCTTCAGTTTATAGAGGTGACTGGCTGGAGTGCCATCTCAAGAAGAATGTGGAATCACAAGAAAGATCAGTGGAAAGGGGGCTCCTTGTTGACTGACAGTGCCTGTGTGGCCCACGGTGGGAGAAGATAGGTTATTTCTTGAATATGCGGCATCCTTACACTGTAGAGTGGTAAATAATGTGTCGATGGGTGGCGGGTAATAGAAGTTGCAGCTGGTGTGAGTGAGACCTGGCCTGAGGTTGAAGGGGGAGTAGACGGGTGGCGGGAGAGCGTGTTGGCTCAGCCATCATGTAGGCACAGGCCCGATGACCGGGGTGGGTGAGCAGGGGAGCCATTGTGAGGAACGGAGAGGTGGGAGATTAAGTGGAAAGGTGGGGCAAGAGAGGTGAGGAATGAGGGTGGTGGCTGTGAAGCTTTCCAAGGTCAGCTGACGAGATCCTTCCTGCCCTCTGACTGTCACCACAGACCTAGCCTAGCCTGAAGTTCCTTGAGGGCAGAGTGGATGCACCTGGATATCATCAACTTTCAGTACCAAAAGCACTTGAGTAAAATGGCAGTTTTCTCCTATTCCTGCTAATTAATGGTATATGTGGTTCTTGTCTTTTTCTTTCTGACTATTTTATAAATACATTTTAAAACACAGCTGGATTAATATAGCCTTAAACAGCAACCTAAAAAGATGCAACATGTCAGGAGAGGTGGGAACCCTTCCCATTCTTCACACAGCACAGCTGTGCAGCCAGCAGTTACTGCAGCTCTGCTGGATTCTCACTAGTGATGGTGCAATATGCCAGACAATTACAGGGATGTTTCAATGGGCAATGGGAGAAAAATCGCAATTCTCTTCCCCATGTGGCTGGAGGCAAGTCTGGAGCTGCTTATGCCCTCTTTTTTTTTTTTTTTTCCAGAAAGAATCTTGCTCTGTCGCCTAGGCTGGAGTTCGGTGATGTGATCTCGGCTCAGTGCAACCTCTGCCTCTCAGGTTCAAGTGATTCTCCTGCCTCAGCCTTCCAAGTAGCTGGCGCCTGCCACCACACCCAGCTAATTTTTGTATTTTTAGTAGAGCTGGGGTTTTACCATGTTGGTCAGGCTAGTCTCGAACTCCTGGCCTCAAGTGATCCACCTGCCTTGGCCTCCCAAAGTGCTGGGATTACAGGTGTGAGCTACCACGCTCTGCCTATACCCTTTGTTTTCCTAAGATTTTTTTATACTTTTGATTCTGGAAGTTCTAAGAAAAAACTACATTGAAGGAGAAGGAGAAGGAAACCATTAGTATATATTTTACAGTTTCTCTTTGTTTAGGCATCTATCTGTTGGACAGATTTAGGTCCATCATGTCTAAATATCTGCTGACATCATAATCTTTTTGTGTTTTAGGAAGTAGAGTGCTTAGAGGCATGGAGCTTGGAGCCAGGCTGCTTAGTTTTGAATCCTGGCTCTCCTGTTTTCTTGCTCTATTAATGTGGACAAGGTACTCTGCCTTTCTGTACTCAGCTCTTTGAAAATGAGGAAAGTAATAATACATGCTATGTAAGTTTATTGTAAAAAGTAACTGAGCTGGGCATGGTGGCTTACACCTGTAATCCAAGCACTTTGGGAGGCCAAGGCGGATGGATCACTTGAGGTCAGGAGTTTGAGACCTGCCTGTCCAAACATGATGAAACCCCATCTCTACTAAAAATAAAAAAAATTAGCTGGGCGTTGTGGCATGCACCTATAGTCCCAGCTACTTGGGAGGCTGAGGCAAGAGGATCTCTTGAACCCTGGAGGCAGAGGTTGCAGTGAGCTGAGATCGCACTGCTGCGCTCCAGCCTGGGCCGACAGAGCAAGACACTGTCTCAAAACAAAAAAAATGAAGTGAGATGATGCTTAAGCATGGACGTGATAACTGGTGCATCCTAAGTGTTGAGAAGATGATCACTGTCACTATTGAGGGTTTTGTTTGTGGAAAGGGGAAACAGTACTGCTATGGTGGTAGGGTTTGTATTCTTACTTGAGTGTTGGGGTCCAGGCTCAGCTCTGTACTAGATTCTAGGCCTTAATTTTCTCATCTTTTAGAGGGACCAGTAATGCCCTGTCTTACTTAGATCAAATGTAAAAACGAAATGCCTTGAGAAGTGCAAAGCAACACAGAGATGCTACATTGTATTACTGTTGTTATTGTAGGAGTGGCGGTGGTAGTGAATGATGATATTCATTAAAATTGATCCAATTTTAATTTTAAAGCAGCAGGAATGATTACTTGTGGTGGTAGTTTATGTACATTACCAACAAACACATTTGCTTTTTCTTGAAGTAAGATAACGTTTTAGTTTTTTTTCCCCTCCTAGGAACCTCGGAGAGCTGATAGATCGGTTTGTGGCTGATTTCAAAGCCCAGGGGCCCCCTAAGCCCAACACTGATGAAGGGGGTGCTGTGCTCCCCAGCTGTGCCGACCTCTTTGTCTATTACAAGAAGTGCATGGTGCAGTGCTCCCAGCTCAGCACTGGGGAGCCGATGATCGCCCTGACCACCATTTTCCAGAAGTACCTCCGAGAATATGCCTGGAAAATCCTCTCTGGCAACCTGCCCAAGTGAGTCCTGTTCATCATAGTCTGAATGGTGAAGTGAGATGCAAATATACCTAAATATGGGAATCTTTAAGGAAATCCACTCCGAAGTTGTTTACCGAACCACTGAGAGTGTCAAGGAAGAAAGCACTCTTACTGAGTTCCCGAGGGTCTGAAGGGATTTCCTCTCTGACGTTCCACAGCTGATGAAAATCATGAGAGGGAATGTCCACACTGGCTGCCCATGTGGGCCAATCTTGCCCCAGTGGACAAAGGGGAACCAGTCCCATTGTACATGTATTTAATTTCCGTGGATTCAACTATAGATACTTGGTACACACAGAAAAAGTGAGGTTGTGGTGCAAATAACTGTTAAAAAGCATAAGTGGTTTCACTGAAGCCTCCTTGGGTGAGATTATGCCCCAGAGTGAGGGTGGGGGGAATGAACCTGCTCTTTTCTCGTTCTGAGTAGGCTCCAAGTCCCTCTTGTGGTACGCACTTCTTGCCATGCTGGACAGAGCCTAGTGTTTCAAGATAGGGTAGGATTGTGGGGCGGCTGGTGCATAGCTTCTGGTTATGGTGACTGTTGTGTCATTCTGGGGCTTAGAATATTGTCGTATTGCTTACTATTGAAATAAGTGGATCATTCAACTAGGATTTTAGAGATGTTTTGATTATATGATAGGTTTCACTGTAATAGAATGTGACTTAAATTGATGCTTCTGAATTTCGTATTTGTAAATTACCCCCATGGCTAAATTTAACAATTCTGGAATTAGTTTCTGTCATGATCACTAAAATGTGTCACATATGGGAGTTTCATGTTACTTGAAAGAGAATAAAATCTCGTGCTCTACAGGAGATGTGAAGTGACAGGTATGTTTTACTGGTGAGAACTTCTTTGACTATGACAAAAGTCATTTTAAAATTTTAATAACTTTTGTTCTGATCATCAAGATAACACAAGTTCATCATAGCTTACAAAACATAGAGAAGCATGAAGAAAAAAACAAAAATTGGCCAGGTAATCCCAGCCTTTTGGGAGGCTGAGGCAGGAGGATGACTTGACTTCAGGAGTTTGAGATGAGCCTGGTCAACATGACGAAACGTTGTTTCCACTAAAAATGCAAAAATCAGCTGGGCTGTGGTGGCGCGTGCCTCTGAACCCAGCTACTCAGAAGGCTGAGGCAGGAGAATTGCTTGAACCCAGGAGGTAGAGGTTGCAGCGAGCTGAGATCGCACCACTGCCCTCCAGCCTGGGCATCGCAGGGAGACTTGTCTAAAGAAAAAAAAATTATATATAATCTCACTACCCAGAGAAGACTTAACTTTCTGGTATATGTTTTTCCATTCCTGATAGATACGTAAGGTGTGTGGTCTGCTGTTCTTGTTTGCTTGTTTGGCGCAATTGGACTGCGCTGCTTGTAGCTTTGTTCCCTGCTGCTACTGTTTTTAACATCATCCTGGGAGCATTTCCCACGTCTCAACAGGAAGAAAATGGCATACTCAGCTGGGATTTTGTCAGTACAGAGACTGTTCACAAAAGTGAGGGCAGGTGAAAGGAACCCCCAGAGGATTCCGAAGCATCCAGATATGAGTGGGTAGTTATTACTACCATAGAACTCACTGAGGAGCCGGGGCTGCCCCAAAAACCCATAGTCACAGAAGGATGTGAGATGGGTTTTGGCCTCTTTAGACATTAGGGCCTTGGGCAGGAAGCACATCTTTTAATTCGCTTATGTACTCCTCCACAAGCACACATAAGTTCCGGTGCAGACTTTTCTTAACTGAAAGAGTCAAGGTGGGCAAACAGCTTTTGTGCTCCAGATGGTCCTGAGTCAGTTCTACATATCAGGAGGTTCCAAGCTAAAGAGAGGGGCAACTGAGCAGCCTTCCCTTTGAATATTAGACCATCTTAGTTAATATGACTGACAACTGGCTGTTGGTTAACTAAGGTCAACTAAAATAGGAATCATCTCTTCCTCCTTCTGATGGTGAGAGAGTCTAAACAGATGATAGTCAAGGTAAGGTCAGTAGGAAAAGAACTCATTGTATGTGGATTGATTTGGGCTGTGTCCAGCCTTTACTTCCCCCTTTTCTTTGTCTTAAAATATGCAGTTTCCAGTTCAGGAAACAAATTAGAAATTCCAGGCTGACTAGTTCCTGTTCCTTTTTCTCAGAACCACAACCAGCAGTGGAGGGCTAACCATCAGCAGCCTCCTCAAGGAAAAGGAGGGCTCAGAAGTAGCCAAGTTCACTCTGGAGGAGCTCTGCCTCATCTGCAGCATCCTGAGCACAGCAGAGTATTGTCTGGCCACCACTCAGCAGGTGAGCTGTCCTGGCTGCCCACTCACCCCTCCTTTCCCTGAACTCTCTGGGCTGAGGAGCTCAGTGAATAAGAAGATAAGCCCTGACAAGGCCACAGACAACCGTGGGTCAGACCAGTTGGCCTGCCACAGAGAAAAGTTCACTGTCCAGCCGTGTCTGCCCAGGCAGCTGCCTTACAGAAGGGCCTTGTGAAAAGGAGACTGGGCAAAAAAATATGGCTGGTCTCCTCCCTGGAGTTGTGTGAGCTGCTCAAAGGGCATGACCTGTTAAAAGTAGGTCAGTAGCACCATCTCCCTATGAAAAAAGCAGTAACAGACTTTTCTGTAGGAGGACCCAGCCTTTGGTGAGGATGAGTCACAGCCAGTTGTTCCATGCCCAGAAGTGTTACTAACCTAAGCAGAAGCCTTTGGGCTTTTATATGTCTTCTGAAATTTACATAGCATTTTCAGTCTGCCTAAACAAACAACCATTGTTTGAGATGCTGACGTTCGGGAACTGGGAGGCAGGAAAGGGTGATGCCTCTCCTGCAGCCCCCAAATGGCAGTAGTTCAGCAAAGTGATTTAGCAGAAGGAAGACCCAGAAGAACTTTTTATTCAGCCTTAACCACGGGATTAGAAATTCCTTTTTACATTTAGTCTGGGATTCCCCTAAGGCCAAGAGAAAGAAAATAATTTGGGAACGTTCTGCTCTTCACCCCGCTTTGTGTTTATTATTTACTGATGTCTAGATCACAGGAAGACATCATACACAGTAGTTCAGACAGTACAGTGGGGAGTTCCTTGGAGCCAGAGCAAAAATACTGCAGGTCAAACAGGAAGTGTGTCCACAAACTCTCCTGAGTTGTGCATCAGCCAGCCAGAGGCAGGGGTAGCTGCACCCTCTGCCTGGGGCCCTGGTCATGTTGAGTTGCGCAGGTGATCACCTGCCAAGGTTTGGCCTTGGAGCCTGAGAACAATCCGTTGAGCTCTGAGCCACTCCCAGGGTGAGATGGCATTGTCTGTAAGGACCTCCAAAGCAGGGACTCCAGAGTTCTTGCATGATATACACTGTTTAACTATTATGTGTGTATGCAGAAAGAAATACATACATGTAAATACGCAGTTTTGAAGGTAAAAATAACCATAGTATAAATAAAAATGATCGCTCATAATCCCATTATCCTCAAATAATCATATTAGCAATTTGGGGTATTTTTTCAATCGGTTTTCATAGACATACTTTTGTACGTTGTAATCTTAATTCATTGTTGTATCCTTTTATTGTTAGTGTTGTACGTAGCATGAGCATTTCTCCTGTCATTACTGTTGTTAGAATGACATCAGTAATCAATATAACTATCATTATAGTGTCCTCATGACCATTATTGTTTATGCTGCCTCAGTTTTCACTTTTATAGATAATCCTGGCAGGGCACAGTGGCTCACGCCTGTAATCCTAGCATTGTGAGAGGCCAGGGCTGAAGGCTTGCTTGGAGCCAAGAGTCCAAGACCAGCCTGGGCAACAGACCGAGACCTGGTCTTTACAAATGTTTAAAAATAAGTTGAGTGTGGTGGCACATGCCTGTGGTCTCAGCTGCTTGAGAAGGTGAGGTGGGAGGATTGCTTGAACCTGGGAGGTCAAAGCTGCAGTGAGCCGTGATCACACCACTGCACTCCAGCCTGGGTGACAGAGTGAGACCCTGTCTCTAATTAAAAAAAAAAAAAGATAATCCTTACAAAGAGTGAGCCATGATCACAGGACTGCACTCCAGCCTGGCTGACAGAGTGAGACCCTGTCTCTAATTAAAAAAAAAAAAAGATAATCCTTACAAAGAGTGAGCCATGATCACAGGACTGCACTCCAGCCTGGCTGACAGAGTGAGACCCTGTCTCTAATTAAAAAAAAAAAAAGATAATCCTTACAAAGAGTGAGCCATGATCACAGGACTGCACTCCAGCCTGGCTGACAGAGTGAGACCCTGTCTCTAATTGAAAAAAAAAAGAAAAGATAATCCTTATAAAGAATGTCTTTCTGAATATAGCATCTTAAATGTTTTGCATTAGTTTTCTAGAACAGACTCTTAGAAGTTCTAGAAATAAGTTGAAGATCATTTTGATGACTGATGATACAAGTAGCCAATTATTTTTTATTTAGTGAAAATTGTTTTTATTGATTACAAAAGTACTACAATCTTAGCATCTATTTTGTGATCTCTAAATACAATTTTCCACTAAAAGAAACCAGAGATTCCTGGAGAGACGACCATTTCCAGGTCAAGGACAGGAAATATACAAGATGAACCTAGAACATCCTGTTATACAAAAAGCAAGAAGAATATCAGACTATTATGGTGTCATCTCACAAGGACCCAGGGATATACAGTGGGCTGAAATGTCTCCCTGACCCCAAAGTATATCCAAGTCCTAGACCTTGGGACCTGTAAATGTGCTCTTGTCTTTGTGAATGTAGTTAAGTATCTCAAGATGAGATCGTCCTGGATTAAGGGTTGTAGGGGGGCTTATCCAATGACTGTTGTCCTTAGGAGCGAGAGATTTAACACACAGAGACACAGGGAAGGAGGCCACGTGAAGCAGGCAGAGGCTGGAGTCTTGCTTCTACAAGCCAAGGAACATCAAGGATTGCTGGCAAGCACCCGAAGCTAGAACAGAGGTGTGGAACAGTTTCTTCCTCAGAACCTCCAGAAGAGGCAGGGCACAGTGGCTCATCCCACAGAGCCTATCATCCCAGCTCTTTGGGAGGCCAAGGGGGAGTGGATCACTTGAGATCAGGAGTTTGAGACCAGCCTGGCCAACATGGCAAAATCCTGTCTCTACTAAAAGAATATGAAAATTAACTGAGTGTGGTAGTGCACACCTTTAGTCCCAGCTACTCAGGAAGCTGAGGCAGGAGAAGCACTTGAGCAGAGGTGAAAGTTGCAGTGAGCCAAGATGGCACCATTGCACTCCAGCCTGGGCAACAAAGTGAGATACTGTGTCTTAAAACAACAAACCAGCTAACCTTGCCAACACCTTGATGTTGGACTTCTGGCCTCCAGAATTTTGAGAAAATGTTTTGGTTCTTTTTAGCCACCAAGTTTGTGATGATTTGTTACAGAAGCCCTGGGAAGCTAATGTAGGAGCCAACCTCAGTGTGCTGCACTGGCCAAAAATGGGACAAACAGGCTGAGTGGGGAGCTCAACCTGTAATCCCAGCACTGTGGGGGTCGAGGAGGACAGATCATGAGGTCAGGAGTTTGAGTGAGATCAGCCTGGCCAATATGGTGAAACCGGTCTCTACTAAAAATACAAAGTGTAGCTGAGGTGGGAGAATCACTTGAACCCGAAAGATGGAGGTTGCAGTGAGCCAAGATTGTACCAGTCAACTCCAGCCTGGGTGACAGAGTGAGACGTGGTCTCAAAAAAAGAAGATGTCACACATAAACATCAGCGTATATAAGTGAGAGTGTTAGCAATAGTGTATAGAAAACACCAGTGTATGGAAAACACCAGTGTGTATCAGTGAGAGTGTTAGCTACAGTGTATGTAAAACATCAGTGTGTATCAGTGAGAGTGTTAGCTGCAGTGTGTTGAAAGCACCAGTGTGTATCAGTGAGAGTGTTAGCCAAAGTGTATGGAAAACATCAGTGTGTGTCAGTGAGAGTGTTAGCTGCAGTGTGTTGAAAACACCAGTGTGTGTCAGTGAGAGTGTTAGCTGCAGTGTATTGAAAACATCAGTGTGTGTCAGTGAGAGTGTTAGCTATAGTGTATGGAAAACACCAGTGTGTATCAGTGAGAGTGTTAGCTGTAGTGTATGGAAAACATCAGTGTGTGTCATGAGAGTGTTAGCTATAGTATATTGAAAAATGTTAGTTTATATTAATGCAAATGTTAGCTACAGTGTATGGAAAACACCAAATGTGTTTAGATCCATTTGGTTGTACTGATTTTTCTTAATTCACTTACCGCCTTTGGAAATGCTAAGGAATCACTGATAGGAGTTGAATACTGGTAAATAAAAACCCTTTAGCTTGCCTTTCCTATGTGACATGTCCCTCAGGAGAACCAAATCATCAACAATGGGAAGTATCTCTTTATAGCAGAAGTCTAGCTAATAAATGAAGAAGAAAAGACAGAATTACAATTTTTTTTTTTTTTTTTTAGTTGGAGTTTTGCTCTGTCACCCAGGCTGAGTGCAGTGGCATGATCTTGGCTCACTGGAACCTCCACCTCCAGGTTCAAGCGATTCTCCTGCCTCAGCCTCTTGAGTAGCTGGGATTATAGGTGCCTACCACCATGCCCAGATTTTTTTTTTTTTTTTTTTTTTTGAGACAGAGTCTTGCTCTGTCGCCCAGGCCGGAGTGCAGTGGCATGATCTCAGCTCACTGCAACCTCCACCTCCCAGGTTCAAGTGATTCTCCTGCCTTACCCTCCTGAGGAGCTGGGATTACAGGCATGCCATGCCTGGCTAATTTCATATTTTTAGTAGAGACAGGGTTTCACCATGTTGGCTAGGCTGGTCTTAAACTCCTGACCTCAGGTGATCTGCCTGCCTCAGCCTTCCAAAGTGCTGGGATTACAGGCATAAGCCCCTGTACCCCCTATCATTCTTTATACCTCTTAATGGAATAATGGGATCTGGGCTTTGAGCATCAGTGGCTCTTTGACATCACACAAACAGCAACCAAACATTATATATCTTGATGGTAGCTGTACAGTACATCATTTTGAAGAGTAGTTTTCTGAAATACAAAACAAACCTGAATCCCCTCAGGCTTCTACATCTAACTACCAATTTGTGGGAAATACAGGAGACAGGAAAATGTCCTTTGATACTTGTGGGTGCAATCAGCAAAATCCAAACCTTGGGAAAATCTACAGGGAGAACAACCCAGTTTCTTTAAGAAAAGATTACAGATGGGGCAAAGAGAAATGGAAGAAGAAACCAGAGACTTAATATTATCTGAGCAGGCTGGGCACAGTGGCTTACACTGGTAATTCCAACGCTTTGGGGGCTGAGGCAG